CATTTCAGGTTTTCCCAAATCAACATTGATAGGCCTACTGGTAATGTGTGAATTCCTAACATAATCTAAAACAGTCTAACTTTTTCTCATGTAATTTCATTTTTAACACTTCTTTCAGATAAGAAATTACAGTAGCTAATAAAAAGCTGAATTATGTACCAGATTGTAAGACTGGGAAAGAAAGCTCTTAGACCAACATTAAATTCTGACTTGAACATATTCTGTCAGCATATTTCCACCAAATATCCAGATACTGTGCGGAATGACTCACGTATGCTGTCTACAAGTCAAAGATTATCTGTTGAAGTGAGACTACAATCAGATGTGGACAAAGCTTATAATGTCCTTGAATTGGATCCAAATTGTGATCTAGTAAAAGTTCGAGAGAAATATGTTGATCTGGTAAAGAAATACAGGAAAGATAAATCATTGGATACAAAGAAATTTACTCAAGTTCAAGAGGCTTATAAATATATTTTGGTGAGTTTTTTTTTTATTGTTGTTCATTTCATTTTCACTTAATCAATCTTCCAAAATATTTTACCAAAATAGAAAATGAAATGAAATGAATTTTGTTTTACGCCATGCAGGGTGCCATGATGGAAATTTTGCCAGGACAGCGACATTAGCCTGCTCTTTTTTCGATGTCCAACTGTTGAGGATCTTTAACCATTAGCACAAGGGGCTTCAGTTTATTCTCCCATCCAAACGACTAGATGCTTTTTCCATGTCAGTCCCTCTTACCTGTATCACTGACATGAGCAAACGGGGTTGAAAAGTTATTATTTCGACATATGCCAGGATTGAACCCTGGACCTTCAGGTTAGCGAGCAAGCATCTAACTCATTCCCTTAACCATATTTTTGGAGCTTTGAAAGGTAGTTTTATATCATATCATTCTTCACCTAAATGAATTGACTAATAAATAGACTCCACATAGACTCTTATTTTCAGGAGAGTAGAAGAAGTGAAATGATAGTAGAAGATTCTAAAGTAAAGGTAAGTACACTGTACATTTTTTAAAATATCAGCAATTAATGGATATACTGAAGAAGAATTAGTTGTGTTAATACTTTGGTTATAAAGTGACCATAAGTCATGCTGATGTAGAAGTATCAGGCAACAATAAGCAGTCTATATAACCTTCAAAAACTTTCTAAGAGCTGAAATCTACAATTGGAATCATCACCAAGTTTTAAAGGAATGAGAATTAAAATTTAACTTGATAAGCCAAAACTGAAACTTGTTGTGATGAATTGCTATTCAAATTTCTTTAATCTGAATTGAACCCTGCATGATATTATGATGTCCCTGCTCACAAATGCCTGGGGAAATGTTGATAACATACTGAAATGATGTCATAGTCAATAGAATTGATTGTTATAGATTGTGGACATCTATGGTAGTATTGTTGTCATTGTAAAGAAAGTGCAGTTTGAACTAACTTCTGACAAAAGCAAAGAAATATGGTCATCTGATTGATGACCATATTTCTTTGAATGATTTATCTCAGGATAAAGACAATAATAAGAAAGATAGAGATGAATGGAGAGAGGCTGTAGAACAAGAATATAGACTACAGAAACTAGCTCTACAATCTGATACTGATATAATTAGACAAGATAGAAGATTATCCAACAGATCAACTAATATGAGGTGACTTTTTATTGCTTTAATTTTCCGAATTGAATTTATATTGTGACTGACTTTCATTATTGGCTAAAAATTTTTAATATGAGCTCAAGTCACGAATAGAGGAGGTCTGTAGCAGTGTATGGTGCAGAATAAACAAACGAAATTAAAAGAAATGAAGGTGCGGACACGATAAGTTTCTTTTATTTTATACTGAATTGACAATGCTGCACCAGACATGGTCTATTCCCACCTTTAGTACCTTATTTTAGCATTCTCCTTATCTGATTGGTATTTGATTCACTTGGGGCCCATGGTTGCTCGGTAAGATAAGGTAAAGGTCCATGCTTTTATCCCATATGCAGATTGTTCAATTTAATATCTCTTGATGCATGTAAAGGAGACTGACATGGAAAAAGTATCTAGGCGTTTGTATGGGACAATAAACCATTGTCTATTTCGGAATTGAAATATTTGATTCCCCTAATTTTCAACATAGCATACTGAGGAAGTGATGATATAAGTAATATTTGTATGCAAGAATATCAAACACATCCTGGAAGTCACTCTGATCCTTCCTGAAAACAAAGCTTAAATTGAGCTCGATCAGATAGATCACAATTGTTTAATGATATTAATCATTTGAAGGTATTAATCTACCTATTACAGTAGTGGTTGTATTGAAAGAATGGTAGAAGATATGGTACAACAGTCAATGAGAAATGGTGATTTTGATAATTTGATTGGTAGTGGTAAACCTATAGACTATGATAACAGAAATCCATTAGTTGATACTTCAACATATAATCTAAATAAAATACTAATAAATAATGGTTTTACTCCAGAATGGATTACATTACATGCTGAAATAAGGTCAGTTTACTCCAAAATTTCTCAATGTCCATTTGCCTGTTCCTCTAGAATCGACAGAATCGACTGACTGATTAAAGCTTTGTATGTATATACAGAAACATAAAATGAAGATCAAGTTCGAATTTAAATGTCTTCTGAATATCATCCTTTGTGATCTCGAGCATGAAAATATAGTAACTTAGGTTTCCAACATATATTCTACAAAACTTACTATGTAGGCTATGTATGATCTCCTTAAGTTTTCAACTGATTTTCATGAAACTTGGTACTTATGTGGAGATATTATGATAAAAAAATGTCATGTGAAAACTTTAGCAATTTGAAACAGAATTCACCCCTCTATTAATATTAATAATAATAAACTCTTTATTTTACATAGGTCAAAATTAGGCCCAATACACAAGGACATGGTCCTGTCTTAACATTCATTCTCTGGGGACAATATCACGAAAAAAAAAATTTTGTTAAAAAATACAATAGTTGCTTTAGATTCTAACGATTTGTTATATTCATGGTAAAAGTCTTCTATTTCACCAATTGAATCAAGTGAGTATATTTGGATGTGATCCACTATCTTAACCTTTTCTGTTTTTCTTGAAATTTTAGACGAGACATTGCACTGGCCCGACAGAAAACAGCAGTTTTACAATACAAAATAATGAAAGACAATATTGGGCATTGTTTATGGGAGAAACAAGTCGAAGAATTCTCCAAAAATATTAGAGAAATCAACAGACTGGTTGAGAAATACAACAACGATGTTCCATTTCTCGAGAAGCAATTAGCCCCCTTCAGACCTGAGCGAGAATTAGAAAAGACCATTGAGAAATTGGAGAATTATTTGCCAGAAGATTCTGCTGAGCGTGATAAACTTTATGAGATGTATTTTGTTCCTTCACAACCAAAACACTATACACAATATGACGATGTCAACTTACACTGGAGAGATGTTTGGAAAGATATAAAATCATTCTTTTAAGAAAAAATATTGGTGCATATCAAGGTATATGTGCCTCTATTCCAGCCTATGTTGGATATTTTAGCAGTTGTCGGTAGGAGTAGAGTCAGAAAAAATTGGCCCTGTTTTATGGGGGATTGTCAACACCTCCAAAGATGCTTTTTTTAAAACATATATTAAACTACCTTAGCGATGACTGTAAATTAGTGTTGGGCATCACAGTTACTTTAGCTTTGTTAGTATCACGTATCCATGTAACCCTTGAACTTTTGGCTATGCGACTATGTGACTGTGGAGAGATCAGTTTCGTCAAAAAATATTTGATGGAACCGCCACCTCTCCAAATATATCTGGGTTTGGCGGATCCATTTAAGTTGAGGTGAAGAAACAGGGCCTAGTTTTGCTGTCTCTACACCAGCCGACAAATGTCAGAATAGCTATCAGAAACTAGAATAGAGACAGATGTTTCAGTCTAATCAAGGTATTATTCAAATCATGAACACCAACATATCTATTCTACTGGAAAATCTGCTTAGGCATTGAATTGTTGCCAGATGTATCTTTGCTTGTCTGTAATAAGAATAACTTATAGTTTATATTTTTTATTTGATAAATTATGTTTATCTAAAAGTGCTCCTGTGCTGAAAAATCGCTAATAAGATGTGCCATAATACATGTATATCACTCTGGAAATGTTGTGAAGTTTTTCAATTGCACAGAAAAATTAAGAATCATGAAATTAAGATTTGTTAATTAGACATATTTTTAATTGTCTAAGAGAGCTTTGATAGCATAACTAGACTAATTGTAGATGATATATTTGTAATCATTAATGGATATGATTAGGTAGTTATGATTCAGAAAGTATTTGTTATATCCTTAACATTTTGATCATTGTTATTGAGGTATGAAGATTATTCAATATTTGTCATTGTTATTACATTGTGAAAATTATCATTGTTATTAATTGATGAAGATTACTTAATATTGATCCTTGTTATTATATATGATCGTTGTTATTATTTTTATGAAGAATTTTTTTTCATATTGATCATTGTTATTATTTCATATTGATCATTGTTATTATTTTATATTGATTGTTATTACTTTATGAAGATTTTTTTATATTGATCATTGTTATTAGACAATAAAGATTATTTCATATTTATCATCGTTATTAAATTAGGTCACTTCCAGTTTACATGTGAAATGATGCAAGCTGCAAACTCCCAGTCGAAAACTTCCTGTGTAAGTTGAACTCTATGTAAGTGAAGAATCCCCCACTACTTAACCACTGTTTCCTTTACTACAACCAGGGAATGAAGTCCTATTTTTACCTAGCAATATCAACGAACGACGTAACTAGGTAATAGTTATAGTTTTCCATACAAAAACCCCTCACTCCCTGTATTTTTGTTTTTGTCATTCATTCATTATATTGCCCAAATGGGCTGAATGTTAGACAAGACCATGTATTGGGTATAATTCTGACCCATGAAAAATAAAAGTTTATTTTTACCCTCAACTCATAGTGTCAGAGTACACTCTGTTCAAAAGCCTAATTGAGACTATTTTGAATATATGAATGGATCTTTATTTTTTAAGGAACACTGATATCTTCCAAGGAATAACCCATACCTTTGCATCTTAATTTTCAAATTTATTTTGATTTTTTCAAACAGAAGTATTTTCTTTATTTTCATCTTCTTCCATTGGTGTACTAGTATCTAAATTATTAGTATTTTCATTTTCATTAACTTCTAGATTACTGTTATCTGCTTCTTCTTCTTCCTCTTCATCTTCATCACTATCATCTTCCTCTTCCCCATCTAACATAAATATTCTTACTCTTCTTTTTGAAGAGTAGAGCTGAAAAATATCAATATACAGATATATAATATCCCAGATGGATGTTTATTCCACAATTAGTGTGTTTGAGTTTAAAGATGGGTTTCCTTTTATGTTAGTGTCAAATTAAGCAAACTTTTTGATTAATTAGTGTTTTTAATGAATTGCTTTATTGCATATACTTAATAGTTTTAACAAATCATAAATGTCCATGTATGTACAGTCTGGATAAACAAAAACAAGGCTTTTTGACCTTTCTTTATCGGTCACTCATTGGTATTTTGCTGGTAACTCTCTTCTAATTTAGCTAATTATGAATTAATTATTTTTCCAAGTCATTAGAACACCTTTACTTTCTAATCAAACAAGTATTAGCATTTTCATAAATGAAAACAAGGGAACGCATCTTTAAAGAACAAAACTTTTCATAATAAAGAGAAATTCCATAGTTAAGGTACAAAATCTTTATCATGTGTAGTCCTATAATAAGTAATTAATTCATATAGTTAAATGCCCGCTTTTATTCTAGAAAAAAAGGAATTTAGAGCATGAAAATCACCCTTCAAAGAAGTCAAAAAAGAAAATTTTGATATTCATGAACTAAAAAATATGCATTTTCATGTTTGCAATTTGGCTAAATTTGATAAAGAAGCCTTTTATAAACTCAAAATTCTACATACCACAGTAGCAGTTTTTCGAGTTCCACTAACAGCGAATGAATGAGCTTGCATATTCTCTAAATGTCTGTAGGAATATTTTGGTATTAATGGACCAACATCTACTTTATTTCTGAAAGATATAATGAGAAAAACAAATAAACTATCATTCAAATATAATAATATATCTTTATCATTGATAAATCCTATTAATAAAAATATATAGAACAATGCCTGCAAGAAAAACAAAATGGTTTTTAAAACTAACAAATCTTTTCAAATTATAGATCAATTAAAATAATGTAATGAAGATAAGTTGAAGAAAACTGTCCAGCCAAAGGGACTCCCCATCATATATCACCTCTTTCAATTTCTGAACAAAAAATCTGTACCATCCTTGGCAAACCTTGGTGTCCCCAAAAACTAAAAGATTAAGTCGTCAACACATTAAATATCGATTAACTGTCAATTATTTTTGTTCTTGGGTCTGCCAACGATGAATTCAGTCCAAGAAAAAAATTAAGTGTCAGACCTAATTCTGACTTCAGTAAAATAAATTGATAATAATTTTATGATTACTTTTAAAGAGAATCTATAGAATTTGTTGGCCCATGAAAATAATGTTACTCTTTAATATTTCTTTGCCATCTGTGAATATTAACCTTCAGGGTCACTATATTTCATAATGCTTTGCTTTTAATTTCTTTCATCCTTTTTCACAGTCATGCCCTTAAGAGATTTTGTGTATTTTTTCCCTGATTTTAAGTGAAAGAAAGGTAGAGTGACCTAAAAGGTTAGAGTTATTGTGCCAATGAAGATTTCAAACTGTGTGTGGTGCAGTGGAAATACTTTGATTTATATCTGATTATTCAATCATAGCTCTAAAAAATTGACCTTAAGGTCAAATGCATTGTCAAAATTTGGGCCAAATTGACAGACCAACTGACCTGAAATGAGTTAAGGTCAATTTCCTTCAACAAATGACCACCTCTTAATTGTTCAAGAAGTCCAGCCTTTGATGAAGAAAGATATATTGACCAGTGTCCAGAGGCAGTGGACAGTTGGACTGACTGACAATAGACACCTGATCATGATCTAACAATAAACATTGAGCCCTGGTATAATGACATTGAAAGAGCAGTATTTGATGTGGGATAATTGGAGACATGCCGACATGGAAATGTAGAAAGGAAATAGAAACAGCTCAAGGCAATGGTTTATGGGAAAAAAAGCAGAAGTGTTATTTCACCTTAATTGGGAAAAGTACCAGTTGGTCCTAGCAAACTTTGAGTCTGTTGGGAATCTTCAATGACACGTACCACAACATTTTGAAAGAAACTACATTTTATATTTCATCTGAGCCCAAAAAGAATTCTTAACTCCAAAGCTGTAGCATTAGAGAGGCAAAAGAAGCAAATCCCTCACCTTTGAAACAACAACGATCTTTTGTCTTTTTTTTTCAATTATGTATTTTAAATTCACCCAGACCCCCCTCATTGCCTTCTTTTCACTTAGTTTATGCAAGGCTTCTATTTTGATTTATAGGAGTCAAATCTAACAAAAACCATATTCCTGTCACTTTTTTTTATTGGTCAAGCAAGGATAAAAGGGACAGGTACGTAATTATGGGGGCGTTGAGTTGAATGTTGAATATGTAAGTAAATAGTCTTCAGAAGAACTAGAAATGTTTGAAAATCGCATAATTCCTTCAAAAATACCTTAAACTATGAATTTTACTCACTATTTCTATATATGTCTTTTCTATATATCACAGAGTATCTGGACACTCAAGGATTTGCAGGCTCAAATTTCTATGTTGAGCTGTGAACACTCTACTGATTGGCAGCTACAAAAATTCTGTTCATGAGACTCAAGTGCGATTGGTAAAAAAAAATGGCTTTCCTGTCCTTTTAAGTCATCAGCCAAGTCGATTTATTGAATCAAAATATTTAGCTTACTATAAAGAGGGCTACTTATAAAACCTGAAAATTTGAATAGTCTAAAGGCAATATCAATGAATAGCAAAAATATTGTGACTTGTGTAGTATTGGTCTTGTAGTATCCTTAAAATGAAAATTTAAACCTTGGTGAATGGGTAAATAATCCATTTTTCATAAAGATCACCAAGGAAAGAAATTTAACAAGTCCCATGATGACATGAAACCCAATAATATGACCCCATCAAATTCAAATTTACAATCTAATATATCATTGAGGTTCCTTACATAATATTAACAGCAGTACATTATAAGATCAGACCTAATGCAGGTGAACTGTGCCATGTGACTCATATTTCCTGTAAATCAAGTTAAAAGATGTTTCAATAGGGTCTTAATGGTTTAAAGGAGACATGAGTATGGTTGTATTATATCATCAAATTATGAGCCCATAATTCAAACAGGATTTACAAACTCTTTAAACTTTCTTGAGTGAATTTTATCAGCCTAAAGACTCTTGTGCCATAGTCCATGAATAAAACTTAAAAAGTGCTTCCTGTTTTTCACCTTCTTTGTTTTGAAGCTTCCTCAAATACTAAACATTACAGGTGTTGGTTCGCCTTTTTCCGGTTGTTGATTTGAATCTTGAATATATGTAAATAGTCTTCAAAAGTACTAGAACTGCATGAAAATTGCATAATTTCTTTAAAAAATACCTCAAGGAATTTAACTTTCTATTTCTATGTCGTTTCTATATATGGCAGAGTATCAATAGCTGAGTCATCATTTTGACGGTGAGCTGTGAACACTTACTGATTACCTTAGCTAAAGACTGTCAGTTTCTGAGACTAAGATATGATTGGTCGAACAGATAGTGAAGGTGCTCCTTTAAAGGGATAATGTCACCTCCAAAGTAGTATCACGATATAAAAGATTAGAAAAATACTTACACATTTTGAGTGATATTTTCGGTAGATGATAATTTAGTAAAGATGGTATCTTTAAGAACAGTAAATGGTAATTGTACTAAAACTGGTCTACCATCTTCAATATCTTCTACCAACAATAGTGATAGTACTTTCTTGTCATAGTAACTTATATCTAGTATCAGATGACTGAAAAATACAACATAAATATAAATACAGTTATTGTGCTTGCTAAACAAGGTAACATATGTCACATACAATAATAAAAATTATAATAGTCTTTTTTAGCATAAAATTTAATTCATTTTACTTTAGAATTATAAAGGATCTGTTTTGTCTAAAATTTCTTCATCAAAGATATATGAATTCCAATTTTTATGCACTCAAAGGCTAAAAAATTCATCTTAATTGTACCAATATTAGCACTAATCCACATTACCATCTGTAGGTGAGGAAGGCTGGAGAGGACATGAACCTGCATTGGGATTAAACCCTGAATCTTCAGGTTCAATTTTTGGTTTATTATTTTTGAGTATATTAAATATACATGTTGGTGTAGTGTGTCTGAAGATTATGTACCATTTGTGTTCATTGGATGTACAAAATACGCCTGAAGATTAGGTACTGTTTGCGTTCATTTGATGTACAAAATACGCCTGAAGATTAGGTACTGTTTGTGTTCATTTGATGTACAAAATACGCCTGAAGATTAGGTACTGTTTTCGTTCATTTGATGTACAAAATACGCCTGAAGATTATGTACTGTTTGTGTTCATTGGATGTACAAAATACACCTGAAGATAACTTACAGTTTGTGTTCATTGGATTTACAAAATACGTCTGAAGATAACTTACTGTTTGTGTTCATTGGATGTACAAAATACACCTGAAGATAACTTACAGTTTGTGTTCATTGAATTATTACGTCTGAAGATTATGTATGCCTGAAGATTATGTACTGTTTGTGTTCATTGGATGTACAAAATACGCCTGAAGATAACTTACTGTTTGTGTTCATTGGATGTACGCCCGAAGATTACTACTGTTAATTGTGTTCATTGGATGTACAAAATATGCCAGAAGATTAGGTACTGTTTGTGTTCATTGGATGTACAAAATATACCTTTAGAATATGTACTGTTTGTGTTCATTGGATGTACAAAATACACCTTAAGAATATGTACTGTTTGTGTTCATTGGATGAACAAAATATGACTCCTACTGATAAAAAATCAATGCTTTGAATTGTTGAATCAACTTGTGTGAGGAAATGGAACACAAGAGTATCACAGTAACAATAGTTTTAACTCCAAATCAAATAAAGACCAGATGAGAAGGAATAAAATATTTCTTAATGAGCTTAAATTAATCCTAATTTTATTTCTTCACTCTAAAATAAACCTAACCTTTCACCTCCATCTTTTATATAGTGTCCTTTACTTGCTTCAAGTTACAGTTCAGAAGGTTAGGTGAAGGGATGATCATCAACACTGTTGACTGAGGCCTCTCACACACTCTACCATTCTGAACATAACTAATTTGAGGCAATGAAGGATAATTTGCCAAGACAATCTGCAGACACAAAATTAAATGGAAATATGTACAATAAGACTGCAATTTACTCTATTGTGGTGGCCCTGAAAAGGGCCGTTTGAGTGCTCTCTGGCAGACTGGCTGGTAAGCATGAGCTTAACCTACAAAGTCGTAGAGGGTTCTGCCTTATCTCTTCAAAGCATAGACGACATCCATGACAGTGATGGTCTTCCTCTTGGCATGTTCTGTGTAGGCGACGACATCTTGGATGACGTTTTCTAAGAAGATTTTCAATACACTTTGGTTTCTTTGTAGATAAGACAGGAGATACGTTAGACGGTTATTCAATATTGTTTTCAAAGAGCTTCAACCACCTGGTATGAAATGGTGTAAATGCAGCATTTTCTTACTTTTGATTTTTTTTTTACTTTGTAAAGAGGATTTCTAAATTTCTAATCAGACATCTGTGGTTCCTGTAATTCCACTAAAACTAAGTGTTTGATGACGTCATTGTATGCCTGTATCACATAAGACCTTTGCAAATAGTGACAAAATCAAACACTTAATGTTTTGAGGAATTGCAAGAACTTGAAATGGTGCAAATTAGAAAACCTCTTTACAATCCCTTTAATGGTATAAGTTTTTATTGACCTATGCGTCATATGAAAGAAAACCAAATTCAGTCTAAAGCCTTATAATTCTGCACCTTATTTGGCTAAAGATGGCCGTTAATGTGATGCGTAAATTTTTTTTAGGACAGTTACATTAGGTGACTCTTATTTTTTTTATGATTCTCAATTGTTGATGGTTCAATAACTTGCACAGTTTGTTGACAAAATGTCTTGGTTTTATCATTTCGTCTTTCATTGTGAGAACATCTGAACTTCATCACTGACGGACAGAAACCAGGCTAGAAATGCAAAGGTATTATCTTGTCCTATGGAAGAGTGGCTGATAAAATTGAAAAATAATGAGGCTGCTTTCACTAAGGAAACAAAGAATTCTATAAAATCACTTGTATTGATTAAATGTTCAAATCAAACAATTATCATATTCTAAACCACCAGACATAATTAGTCTTAATTTCTACCATGTGGCTATAATTAATTCTTATATTATGTTATAAACTAACATGAACAATGGTTCTCTACATACAAATGATGACAAAACAGCAGTATGATCACACAGGTATTTAAAGGGACAGGTTTGTCATTTTTTTTAGACAACTTTACCTCAGTCTCAGAAACAGGAATTATTTAACTAAGCTAATCAGTAATAGTGTTAACAGCTCACTGTCCAAATTTGATATTTCAAATCCGAGTGTCCAGAATTATCCGCGTTTAAGTTAAAAAGACAAGTTGTCTTTTAATAAGACTCTGCCATAGAAATAAGAAAAAAAATTCTTAGTTTAAGATATTTTTGAAGGAATTATGTAATTTTCACACATTTCTAGTACTTCTGAAGACTATTTACATATATTCAAAACTCAAATCAACCCCCCAAAATGGCAACAACATTAAAGATTTCTTTAGGTAGATTGCCTAAATATCTGAAAAAGATTATTGTTCAATTCCAAAATGGCTTTTGAGATTCTAAATTCCAGTTTATGAATTACAGGAATTTTTATAGGCAATTGGAATGGCTCATTTATAAGCTACTGTTCCTAAGATTTGCATGCAACAAAAACCAAAAAAAAAAAAACGGAATACTTCTTTACAATCAAGTTATTTAATGATTATGGTAGGTCTATTGCAAATGCTCGTCAAGTTATGCATGAATTACAGGAACCAGAGATAACAGAAAAAAATCAGAATGGTGAAAATTGGCCTCTAAAGGCTCAAAATTCACCTCAAGGCATCTGAAAACTGTTGCTTTCTGGGTTCCTCTGGCAGCAACATTACCCTGACCTCAAGAAGCTTCTGCCCTAAGAGATACACCTATCTTCCCACTGTACAGAGCTCTTTAGGACTTGTCTCTTACCTTAATACAAAATTAAAAAAAAAATATGCCCTACATTAGATTATTTAACATTTAACATCATGTACCAAACAGTTTAAATTTTTTATGCACATTTATATGTATTGAATACATCACAAAGTTTCTAATTGGTTAATAATTGATGTCTTTATAACTCTGCCACCTGCAAAAAAAAAACCCTCACTTGAAGGAATTCTGTCTTTTGATCCCAATAAGTTCAAATTATATATAATACATAAATAAAACATCATTTCTTTGAAATATATCAATAATAGAATCAGAAATAAATTGACTTAAATTTCTATTCATAAGTTTATCAGATGTAATTTTGGAAAGCTAACATTTTTCCGTTAATTTTGTGATCTTTTGATGGATAGATCATTTGAATATCACATCTACAATAAGTCAAAACTGATGACAAAAAATTGATAAAAGTTCATTGTAGTAAAGGAAATAAATATATTATGTAAATAGGCTTCTACTTTACTCAATAGAAGATATATACAATTATATTTAAAGCTGTTGAACTGAATTGAAATATATCAATAACTTTGGTATTTAGGTATATAAGTCACAATTAGAAGATGTTTGAAACTGATAATAGCATCAATTTAAAGCACTCTATTAACCTTGATTGAGTTTATTTCTAAATTTTCAAAACTTCTCTAAATATTTTGAAGTGTAAATACACAGGTAGTATGAACTAATGTAAATGTTGATTATCATCCGAAAGATTTTTAGAATTTTCTGATCTTTTTGATACATTTCAAATTAAAATTTTAAAAAAATATGACAAAAAAATGTTGGATTAGGAGATCAAGAAGGTAGAGCATGGTGTCAGGTGTCTCTAAAGGGTGAGCACACTCTGTCTCATTACATCTGCCTAGTTTTAATGTGAATATACTATCATAAATTACATGTAATGGTGACTGTAATTGACCTTTTCTACTTGAAAATTCCTTATTTTCTAAAGAAATTGGCAAATTTCAGATATTTTGGGGGAATTTCTACTTTTCTTTTCTCATAGGGACTCATAAAACTCCATTCTTGTCATTTTCTTCTCATAGGGACAAGGTGTCTTGACTCTGAGATAGACCTCAGTGTGCACATTACAGTTCAACAGACATTTGAAAAAAAATTGGATTAACGCTGTTGCTTTACATAAATTTCTATCATTGCAGAACATAGTCTATCTCCCTTAGTCTAATCAGAAAGAAATAGTAGAACAAAAACATTATTTCATTTTGTATGTGATCAGCAGGAGTCCTCACTATCTCATTATACTAGTGACACCTATCTTGTCATCTGTTGATTTTAGTTACAATTTGAACAATGGACTCTAGTTTATCTTATTTGTCAGTCGGATAGTACCATACAGTGTTGATAAGATCACCTAGTGAGACAATTACTTCCTTCAAACACATCTACCTAAAATAATTCACTGACAAATTTCAATTTTAATAGGTACAGAATGATAAATTATTATTCTGACACAATTCATGTAGATTGTAAGAAATGTCCTAGTGAGAACAATTTCTTTATCAGTTTGAAATAAAAGATATTTACTTTAAAAAATTTACAATTTTATTTTGAAATATGACAAATAAATTGCATAAATTAACATAAATTAGTTTAGATTTGATTTTTTTCTTTTATTCATTCTGTTAATCATTTTAGTTGAAGAACTCTCTTATGGTCATCATTAGAGCCATAGAATAAATATGGTATCAAAAATTGCATAAATTAGTTTCGATTTGATTTTTCTTGTATTCATTCTGTTAATCATTTTGAAGAATTCCTATGGTCATCAATACAGTCATAGAATAAACATGAATTGAAAAATTGCATAAATTAGCATAAATTAGTTTAGATTTGATTTTTCTTTTACTCATTCTGTTAATCATTTTAGTTGAAGAATTCCTATGGTCATCATTACAGCCATAGAATAAACATGGAATGAAAAATTGCATAAATTAGCATAAATTAGCCAAGATTTGATTTTTCTCTTATTCAGTCTGATAATCTTTATAGTCGAAGAATTCCTGCGGTCATCATTACAGCCATAGAATAAATAAGGAATGAAAACCTCTCCCTGTAGCCTACCATTATGATTTCAATATAGCTGTAGGCGTGTTCTTGGAAGAGGCTGATCATTATCACTGCATGACATGCATACTTTTTCCGCCCTATTCAAGGTCCTGGACAATAGTCCATGAAGAGTAATTTGTTTGTGTCCTTTGTACGCAGGTCAACATCAGACAAGCAATCTTTCATACCAAGGTGTTAACTCCATGCTTTCAATAAACTCTACAGGCTCATTAAATTGTGACTAGAGTATATCTTGACCAAATCTAAGGT